TGAAGTAGCATAACTATATTTAAAATATAGTCCTATAGGATGCAGCATTTTATCATTTTATGGACTCTCTCATGACGTCACAGAGCCGATATATAACGGAAATAAAAGCTGAATAAAAGCTTTAGATAGTCTATGTATTGTCATTGACCTTGACACACACAGGCACACTCGCTCGCTCACTCACTCACTCACACACACAGGAAGTGGAAAAAACAAACAAATTTATACAATATAATAAAAAAGACAGTAATCTCTTGGTAATTTTATACCCAATAAGTCCTCAAAAAATGCTGCTGCTCCTTCTTTATCTCACCTGTCTGTTAAACCGTTTACTGAGGAAAAGTGGAATCATTTAGTTGCTGAATTCAAGAATTCCCCTGAGGCTCCTGAAGTTAATTTAAACACTGTTCGGTCTACCCAGTAATAGAGTAATTCTTACATAAGCAAATACTGCAGTTTCCAGGAATTCATTTAACCCACTGATTAACTCTTATCGCTATTTACAATGGTCAAATGGATTTTTCTTCTGTCTGTATTCACTTAAATTAGGTTCTCAGCAGAAACAAAACAAAAGCAACAATAAGAGCAACATAGTTTTCAAACAGTTCTCATATGTGTCACCGGTTAAATGTAAAACCTGGGTTTTCCCAGATCTTTTGTTAAAATTCAATTTTCCAATTAAGATTTTTAAATCATTTAAAAAAGGTTTTAATCGTATGACAAGATCTTTTTAAAAACACATTTTTATAAAAAGATGAAGTTTAGTACACACATTTTTTTGGTTTTCAGAGCATCTGATTGTGAAGAAACCTGATCATAGACGGAGGGGTGCTGAGGACAGGATAAAAACATGGTGTTAACAGTGAGATTCAGTTTGCCTTGTCTTTTTATCTGAGGAGAGATTAGACGAATATCATGAATATATGGGAATCTCTACCAGGTTCTTACCAATGAGCCATGAAAGGCAGGACGATCATCGAGATACCTGGGATCAGATCTACCCTGTCTGGCTGCTGTTGCATCTTCAAACAGCAGAATGTCTCTGTAGCTAAGAGGAGACACCATAAAATGTAAAATACTGGAGTTTTTATCCATAAAGGCTCAATTTGTAATTTTATGAAGTGGAGTATTCACAAGTAAAATTTTACAATTACATGAATGATTATTAAATAATATACAACACTGCTGTAGGAGAAAGTGTAAAGAGAAATAGAACATTTGGGATTTAGTGAGGTTTGAGTGAATCAGGAAGGAATAAGGTTTATATCTTCAATTTGAGTGGTGGTGTTGAACTTGGATTACAGACTGCGGATTTCTATAAAGACATAATGAAGAGGAGATATGTGAAGATGGTGCAGGAGGGGACAGTGAACATTTACAGCATGATGAGTTAAACAGAGAGATGAGACACAGAAACAGTTCATGTAATTCAGGGGGTAAGGGAGACAGAAAATGGGGGAGAGAGAGACAGCGAGTGCCAGAAAGGGAGAGAGACAGACGGTCATGATAAAGATGGTAAATCCAATCTGATGGCTGTTATGAGGAGAGAGGAGAGGGGGAGAGTGAGAGGCAGAAAGCAACAGAGCTGGTGAAGTGAGTAATGGTGGTAAAGGCACAGCAGAACCAGTCGACTGGAGCCAAGACTGCACGTCTTCAATCAGTCATTTCATTCAATCTCCTCAAGATACAGTGAACTCTTTTCTATCACACATATCAGGGGGAAAAAACGTTAATGATTTGCTGCTGCTGCTGCTATCATTTCTCTGATTTTGTAATAATTGTAATTAATAATTTTGTTCTGTATTTTAATGCTCAATAACACTGAACTGCTGCCTAATCCAGGATGGATGAAGGATTTTGTTTTTTTTAACATGCCGACTGTCGCAGTACTGAGGGAGCACAAAGTGTCATAAAAGCAAAACCTATTTGTAACCTTAAAGCAAACATAATGCCACTCTAATCCCCTCATGAACCACAGAAACACACACTCACACATGGAGACCCACACCCACACAAAGGTTGTCTCTCTCAGAGGAAGTGCTGTCATCAGTTTGAAAATAGTAGATGTTTGGGATTAACATGGCTAGTGTGTGTAAGTGTGCATGTGTGTGTACAAATATGACAGGAGGAATTTGTTTTGACATTTTTCAAAACATTTCCTCAAATCTTGAAAGTGTTCAGGACTTAGTTTTAGTGCAAAGGTAGTACTTTGGCATTTACGTGTTAGGAGCTATAGAATAGAATGCATTATCTCAACGACTGTCCTTTCAAATTATATAAAACAAAAATCTGTGTGTGTGTGTGTGAGGGAGGGGGGTGTGGGGGGGAGATTGAGACCCATAAGCACATTCCATCACAGATGCACTCTGGGTTTAACTTAGAGGCCACATACTGACATAGTAACACAAAAACAGGGATTAACATGGGAAGTGTGTGTGATGAATATGTATTGAGGAAAGATGGATGTTTTGAAAACCTGACTTTACTAAAACAACACACACACACACACACACACACACACACACACACACAGGACATGAGATCGCTCATCATGATGGAATCCCCAGATTGAACACAGGAGACGAGGGTCTACACATTCTCTCTCTCTCCCACACAGACACAATAGGGGAATTTATGAGGATCTATGTCTTTGTCTGTCCATAAACTTTACATTGACAGGGAAGCTAAACACTGAGCAGAAGCACAAAACCAACATGGACCGATTGTCAATGTGTAAGACAATTTAAAGAAGAAATGTTTTATTTTTATTCATCAGAAATCAGATGATAGAAATTCAGGAATGCACTCATGACCTAAAAAGTAAAATTAAGAGATGGAGTAAAATGTAAAGACGTCAAGTCACAGTTGTATCAGTGTGTTGGTGGCTTCAGGATGACTGCTGATCCATCTCACAACGGCATTCTTCCATTTTCATCAACAGATCCTTGGACAAGGGATGATCATCACTGTGGGTGAGCTTTAAGATTTGATAGGCCTGTGAAAGGAGAATTAATAAAAACAGACATAAAGTCTTTTTTCAGTTATCAACAAGCTAAAAAAAGATCTATTGTTTAATATCTTAGCATATTTAAGACATTTTGAGAACTAAAATTCACATTATAAAATATAAGAGTTTGTAAGACCCTGCAGAAACCCTGTTAACTCTCTGCTTTTCAATCATGACAGGAATGATAAGCAAAACTCTGTTGGTCAGTATTTCCTCCACACACCTGCTTGAATGTGTCTAAAGCTTCCTCGATGTGTCCCAGGTAATGCTGCAGCTTTGCAACTCTCATCAGCTGGACTCCGTGGACTGGGTGGGGATCAGGGTAGTATTGTCTTTGGAAAGAACAGAGAGAGGATTGAAACTGAGAGAAACAGTGGTTTAATAAGATCATGACTGGATCATCATGATTTTGCTGCTTGACCATACATCTCACTCAGATCTGTTAATTTACTCCCATAATGTTGTATGTTTACCAATTTCCAATCAAGTTTGATGAAAACTGTTTTATGCTGACGATTAAATGACTCCAAACAGAAACTTAATAAATAATGTATACACATCAATATACCTTCACAGAGGCCTTCCTAAGGTTATTAGATTATAATGCATTATCTATCCATCAATACATTTATTCTCTGCTACTTATAATAAAACAAATAACTCTACCTCTGTCTGAACACACCAGAATGACTCATATCAAATGCAGTGTCACTCCAATATCCAATAATATCCTCATAGACTAGTTTGTTTAAAGATGATGTCTATTAAGAAGTGTGATCATCACAGCAATATGCTGACATTAATCAGTCTGAATTATCACTCTGAGTTAACATATAAACAACATTTTCTGATTAACCTAAAAACAGTCATAATTTGAATAAGTAATTAAGATGTGGAGTACTCTGACCTTAGTCGCATTACATTGACATTTATATTAATCACAGTATCGGGTCCTGTTGGAGTTTTCACAGGAATTTGCTCCATACGACAGTTACCAACTGCTTGATGACACATGGGTAAGTGTAAACAAGATGGCAGAAGAGGTCACATTCTTTGGGAGAAGGACAAACTGTAGTTATATACTTCTATAGAATACATATGAATTGGCGTTTGAATCATGTTTGAATGGACGCAAATATCACAATGGTGATATTTTCAAAAAGGTCACAGGACTGTGGGACAAATGCCTAATTGTTGACATGATTCATAATCAGACTGAATGGAATATTCTATGAGCAATTGATTAACATTATAATCAGAATAATGTCAATAGTCAGATTATTGGTGTCCATGTAAACAGGACTAACAGCTTCCAAAAAAAACTACCTTGAAACACTGGTTTGACCCAAACTACACGGGAACTTCCACTCTGATTTTAAAAACATTCTATCAGCTCTACAGCTGAATCAATAAGGAAAAACCCCACACGTCTCAAAATGAAAGATTTAGTTTATGACAACCCTCCCTGTCAAGTATGATTTACCTTACTTTTCTTTCTTACTGACCAATAAAAAATGTGACCCATAAAAAAAGTCCCGTCACTCCACATGAAAACCGGGGGAACACGATCTTATGTCTGATGCAAGTTCACAGAAAATTTACAGGTGGCCAAACTCCCATTATCTCTCCAGTGTCACTGCAAGAGTTAAGAGTTTGTTTCCTGTTACATCATCAGGACAAAGCCACAAAGTCTTAATGATCTTTGTATTTACGTGACATGACACATAAATATATAAACATGCATGTTTTAAGAAAGACAGCTCACACAAACACATGCACCATCAAATCCCCAATACACACAGGGAAGCAGGATGCTCTTAGTCCTATATAGATGAAGGCACACCAGGGAATCTAAGGAAGCAGCTTTGTTGTTGGTAAACAGTGGGGTTCTCAAAACACTCATTTATCCAACTCAGCTTGTTATTTATCCTCTTTTCTTCCCCCTACCCCTCTCCTCTAATCTCTCCTTCCATTTCCTATTCCACATCTCCTTTGCTCTGCTCCTACCTGTTTCGGTTTGCGTTTCGTGCCCCGCTAACTGCAGGGATTAAAGTTGGCGATATCAATCAGTCAGTCAGTCAGAGTCGGGCGGGATGTCATCTCTCCTCCGCTGCTCTCCATTCATTCCTGCTTACTTTACCTCTGTTGCCCTTTTAAGTCTTCCCTCGTTTTTCCTGTTTTCTCTTATTTACACACATGCACACACACACGTTATTCAAATGTTATGTAACCGCTGTAAGACGGTATGTAAATGTGCACTGACGACGCACAAACCCTTCTCATTCCCATTCTCTCACCTCATTTAAATTTCTTGTCTAGTGCAGCCATCTCTCACTCACAAAGAGCTGTAAGTAAACACACACCAGCACTAATGTATGAGCATGCACACACACAAAGATGAGGTCAATATGAATCCACTTCACCCTCTAATCTGCTGTTTTTGTCAGATTTCATTTCTCCCAAGCATAAACACAACACAAGAGGGTTCAATATGCTCGCAATGCAATCAACTGGAAACAGAAACTGTTGTAAACGGAGCACGTTTCTTATTTATTATGCCTCTGTGCTGACGGGAGCCTGTGGCCAGAGCAGTTATTTTTCGGGCTGTCTGTCCGTCCCGTTCTCTTGAAGGATGAACCGATTTCCTGCATTGTGAACACAGTATCTCTGAGGAAATTTAAAATATCGTTCTAATGTTCACTTTGACTCAAAGAACTGATTAGACTTTGGTGGGAAAAGGTCAAGGTCACAGTGAATAAACACCTTAACTCCAAGAGTGTGATTACCATGAGGGTATTAAAACTTCCATACTGAACTCTTACTTGGACTCAAAGATGACCTCATATGACCTCATGCGATTCAGGAAGAAAAATGTATGTAGACTGAAACTGAACTCGATGGCGGAGACATACAACCACTGGGCATAATTCTAGTTTTCTTTGTGGACTGAAACCAGTAACTTGTATTGGCTAATTTTACTGACTCTTTAATTTAAAAGGAAAACACTCGGAATCAAAGTAAATGAACTTGTAGTGTCAACGAACAAAGTAATTTAAGACTCTGTAGCTTCTTTGAATTTTCCCGCACTATGCTAATAGCCCATTTGTTCATACCTTCGAGCCTAACTAAACTACTCACTGACAGGCCCACCAATTACAGAGGCGCTCTCTGATCCTGTGGTTAAAATTGAATCATTAAACAGGAAGTTCAAAGACTAAACCAACAACATTAGTCCTCCATGAATAATAAAGTTACAATATTGATTTAATTACCAAGCCAGTGCTTCAAGTAGCCATGACATGCAAACACTCACAAAAACCAAACTCCAATTATGTTTCATCTTTGCATATAGAGTCACACATGGCAATTAAAATAATTTCATTAACTTAGTGTCTCCTGGATTCCTCCCTCCTTTTTTCCCCAGGAGAGTGAATTGAGAGAAATGCAGTCTTGCTACATATGCAGCTAGTTAGAAAGCTGTAGCCCTCGGCTACGACAAAGAGAGGGGGCAAGAAGGAAAAATGAATAGTGGTGGAAAAGTGTAACATTTCCAGGCAAATGCTATGAAACTAATGAGGCCCTTGTTTGGAACAAAAGATTCACAGCCTGATGTTTGTGAGGGCTGAACATGGATTATTTCTCTAAGAAGGAAAACTAAGCGAGGAGAATGAAAGCATGGAGGGAAGATTAACTGTGATTCGTCTCCCTAATTGTATTTTGTTTTCTGTCCATATCAACACCATACATCTGTTACTAAGATAAAGAACATCCAAATAGATATAAATCACAGCTGAATTATTTAGCAGAGAAATGTTTGTTTCAAAGATCCTAATAAAAGGACTCTCCCCAGGTGCAGCAATGCTTGATCCCCTCATCCCAGGTTTCATACACCTATGATCTGTGAGCAGAAACCAAATAGACACGCTATTGTTGACATGTCCCAGCCACCGCTGCTACAGAGCACTGGTCACCTGTTAATTAAATGTTTATTAATACTGAATGGATTGTGTGTTTATATCGCACCAAAATCAACACTGCACTTCATTGGGCCATCAACAAAACAAATGCAAAGTGTGACGCAGAGATGATGAAGGGTTCTGAAGATATGAGGACTTTAGGATCCAGCATTTTTAAACTCAAAACGGTTAATCACTGTTTTTCATCCAACAAGAAACCTGATGAGGTGCTACTCTTAATCTGTGCAGTAAACCCTTTAACTGGTTTTGTCAGTGATTTGCCCAAATTGCTTTCATCTTCACCAGAGAATGGAAACAAGGGTTCCGGAAATAACGTTGAAGATTTTGGGCAACGACCATAAACCGTGATGCCGGTCCAGGGACCGTTGCTGCATGTCGACATCCCTTCACTGTCTGCTCTTTAATGAAGGAACGAAATGCTCCAAAAACATTTCTTTGAATTTCATCTGGACATATGAACCACAAACCGGTTCACAAACACTGACATTGTGGGGGCACTTCACTGAAGCAGCAAGGCCACTGCTGATGCAGAAGTCTTACACAACAGATTCTCTCTATAATACTGTGAAACCTTGGACAGACAGAGATACTGTAAATCTCCACTCGTTTATTAAAACTGTAAATGAATAAAGCTGTAAAATCAGCCTTCACTCTGTGTGTGTGTGTGTGTGTGAACATGAAAATGGCAGTAAAATATGTGCAGCATGTGTACAGCCTGCAGCAGGTGTGCATTATTCGCACCCAGGCGCAGAGAAAGGTCCTCTCTATACATCAGACACTGAATGGTGAAGCTGACTAAAACGACCTGCGAAGAGTGAGAGAGTGAAAGAAGAAAGGAATAGAGAATGAGTGGATGAGAGACAGAGACAGAGAGAGAGAGAGAAATCCTGCAGCTATCTCTCGTTTAATGCCATCTGAAGAGCCCAGAGGAAGATAGGTGATGAATATGGAGGATCCTCCTCCCACTCTTTCACTTGTGTCTCCTGAACGGTTTTCTCTCCTTCTCTTTTATTTTTATCTATGTGCTTGCCAAGCTAACGTGCATTCCACCATTCCTCTTTTTTTCAGTTTTTCTCATTTTATACTTCACTTCTCTCTCTTCTCTCTCCTCTTCCTGAAGACTCCCTCGCCATAACGTTACTTCCTTCATTTTTGGCCACTTGTCTTCCCTCCTCTCTTCTTCTCCAGATTGTTGATAACCATTCACCCCTCACTCTTCTGCCCATCCTTCATTTTTCATTTATCTACTACACTCTTCCGACCTCTCTCTGCTCACTCCCTCCCTCACTCCCCACAACCATCCCTCACTCTGGTCTCCCCTCTGCACATTTCACTTTCTTTCAACCGACACCCAACTCTCAATCCTCTTCTTATCATCACCATCTCTCTCTTTCTGCTGCTCTGTGTCCAGTTATTTATTGATAGGCTCTGTTGCTGTTTCCCCCCTGTAGGTGAGTCGTCAGTGTGTGTGTGTGTGTGCGTGCGTCCACTACTTGGCCAATAGAGCTCAGCCCAGCACACAAGATCAATCTCTCTCTCAATTCAATTCAAGCATCAAAATACAATTTTGCCAAGTACACAATAACAAAAAAGAGCAATAAAACACCAGGATCAATATTTTAGGTCCAAACTAACTGATGTAAATCAAATAATGACAGCTGGCTAACCCTGATATTAAATTTCATCCAGAGCTTCGAGGACAAAGAGCTGGGTGGCTCGCTTGAGAATAAACCACAATTGAGGATGATTACATATGCTTTTTATTTTCACATTGACACTACATTCACCTACCTTTGTTACATTTTCATGTATCTGGAGTCTCCTTGATCAATTAATTGTTTTGCCAAAGTTGATATTGTTACCTTACTTGTGTATCAACTGTTAGAATATCGTCGGTGGGTTCTACATGAAACCCTGTAGATGGGATGATTCCTGATAGAACCTTCAGGAAGGATTCTTGGTGGAACTATTGTACCACAGAAGGATTATCTGTAGAACCTCACCTAGAGGGTTCGGAGGCTGATACAGGATATTGTTTTTTCACAAACAGCAGGGTCCTACCAGACCCACTGTGACATGCACGCACGCACATGCAAACACACACACACTCACCTGTAAACTGGAATTGTCTTCTCTCCATATCTCACAGCTTCCTGCCAGCGTCCCAGGTTAATGGAGGCGTCTAAAGCCATGTCTGTCATTCGAAGCTTGTAGAGATTTTCCTCAGGCACAGCGCCACCAACAGTTAATAACAAATCACTGCAGCTTTGTAGCAGTGCTTCCCAATCTGGAGGGTCACATAGGGAGAAAAAACATTCATACTGATGCTGATGACTGTCTGAGCTCACCCCTGAGTGGACACATCATTATATAAAGACAAATTTACTTGAGTGCATTGACACATGAAGTTGTGATCTTAGACCATAATGGGTGAAGTATCCAGAGCATCAGTCAAACACACCTTTCACACATTCACTTATAGTTTATGTTTGTACATGACTCTACTTTGATGATAACTTCATTTACATATGAAGGAATTAAAACCACCAGTTGACTCAAGTATTAGTGGTTTGTGACTCTACAGTGACTACAATCATAAAACAATTTGTTCTCATTATAATAAATATAATATAATAAAGCAGTTTATTAGTATAAGCACAGTTATATATGTGAATCTGTGACCTATCATTTGTTGTTAGAGGAGAAGCATCAGTTTATTTAATCGTCTTCCCACAGCAGAGTAGATGATGGATGGATGTCAGTGCTTACTGTCCATTGAATGTAGCTGATCTTGGATGTTAAGGATACCTGACTTTGCTTTTTGTTCTTCCAGTCTGGGTAGAGCCTCCTTCAGCAGGCGCCATGCTGTTTCATCACCAGACAGCATGAGTCCATCCTGCAGAGAGAGGAGAGGAGACTAAACAGACATAGATCTAAAACAAACAATCCTGTGCACAGACTTGGCCTGTACACGATGCAGTGTGCAGTCTTACACTGCACCATTCTAAAGAGCATATACAGTGAGCATTGAAAATCAAGACAGAACTTGTTCATTAAAATTTCTTTGCAAACACAAAAGTGTTAAAAAATTCTGCCTGAACTTTGCTTGATGGACAGACGTATATACAGAGCGCAGTAATATAAGACCAAAGCAACCCTCTGTTTGCAATTTGTCAAAAAAACACAAACGCTCAAATGCACAAACACAAACACTCAAAACAAAAAACAGACGAGGTTCAATGTCAACAGTTGCCATGACAACTTTGGGTCACAGCCCAGCATTATTAAAGATTAAAGAAAGAGGGAAGATGACAGAAAATATGTGTCAGTTGTGTGCTGGGCAAAGTTAGGGTTGAATAAAATGGAAGTTATTGTCCCACAGAATCAACTGAGTGCTCTTTCTTACCTTCTCTCTCTCACAAACACACTCGCACAACACACTCACACACACGCACGCTCGCACAACACACACCCACCTGCTGTTAGATTATTGGAGAGAATGACTAAAGCACCGCATATGGAAAACAAAGCTGGAGGATGAAGGCAGAGAAAAGAGAGGACAAGAGATATGACTGACTGTAAACACACGTCAGAGAGAGAGGGTGACACACTGGAACAGAGAGACTGAACGAAGAAAGAGTGTGGTGGAATAAGATGGATGGAGAAGAAAACTGCAGCAGAGACGAGATGATTTTTCACATTTTCAGGAAGCTGTCCGAAAGAGAGAGGGAGGAAGAAAGAGAGAGAAAGAAAGAGGGGTGAAGAGGTGGAGCGTGACAGAGTGACTGAGAGGAAGAGGAGGACAGCAGGAGATAAGACGGAGAGTTAGAGTGAAGGAGGAAAAGGAGTATAGGACAAGGAAGGGTACACTGTAACACGTTACGCACCGATACACTGTACGTGGCAAGGGTTAGAGAGCAAGGGGGGGGGGGAGAGAGGGAGAGAGTGCTTTTTTTTGCAACTTCTGGTTCATGACATAGAAGCAAATTCAGTTTTTGCGAAGTTACAATGAACAAATCTGGGTCTGATTTGGTTCAGCAAGACAAAGTAGTGATCATGACAGTAGGACAATGATTATTGCTCAACAATAATTACGACACTCAATGGATCTAAATCACTTTACATGGGTTTTATTGGATTCTTTTTATATTGCAACATATCGATACACACTGCAATCCCACTGCTCGACAGCGCATGTCACGGATATTTCTACACTGAGACGCAACACTGAGTCAGCTCTATTGTTTTATTGCAGATGAGTGCTCTCTGGAAAACATCACTGCAGCAGTATGAGGCAACATTTGCACAGCTAAGGTCATACATGTATATCACCGCAGCCTGAGGAGAAAAGGATCAGGACAGATTTTTAATTCTACAGTTAATTCTTTAAGTGCAATTCAGATATTGTAATATAAATTGGATCAAGTGGAGGATTCTCTTCAGACATTACTGAGCTGTTCTCCACAGCAGTGCTGCTCCTGTAGGACAAATTTCACTTGACTAATTATGCCTTACGCTGATTATTGGTCATATTTGGATCATTGTGTGCATGAAAACATAGATAGTGAATCATTCTGAATTTGTATCTCTCCAAAGGAGGTTATGTTTTCACTGCTGTGTGCCTGTTAGCAGGATTACACAAAAACTACTGAACCAATTTTATTGAAATGTGGGAGGATGGAGGATGGCTCACAGAAGAAGCTGAATGGATTCTATTAAGAGGGCGGATCTAATAATTATTTTTCACTTTTTTGTTTAGTATTTTTGATATTTCTGTGAATTTCTCAAGAAATAATACAGAGATCATTAAAAAATAATTACATGTGCATGGAATATGGTGAAAAGGTGGCCAATAAGCGTCTGAGTGCTCTTCTAGATGTAAATGAAAACCATTCATCTTCATCTTACTTTGTCGTGAGAGAGGCATCGCTGGCAGTGGCAGGTAAAATGGTACTGGTCCTCCAGCTGTCTCTGTCGATCCTCAGTCAGGGACAACGTCTCAATGTAACTTATAGTGAGCTGGAAAAACAGAGAACAGTTTAGTTTGAGAAGAAATTGAATTGATCATATTTCATTTTGCACTTCTCATAGATTCATTAGCCGTGTGCTGCTGATCATTGTTAACTGCAGCTCAGTGCAGATTGATATTTGGAAGCAAGTTTGTGTAAACTGAGTGTGGAGAAAAGAGACGCAGCCGGAGTACATGGTGTGTGTGTGTGTGTGCGTGTGTGTGTGTGTGTGTTAGTCCAGATGGTGTGGATGCATCTCATTACATACAGTCAGGAGGGATGAAGACTGGAAAATTGCAGAAATCATCACATTTGTGTTGTTGTGATATTTCATTTAACTGCATTTTTAATAATCATTTAATACCATTAAGTTCATTGTGCATCCATCAACATTTATTATGATTGTTATGAAAACTACAGAGATGCCATGTCCATGGAATATGAAATGGTTCTTGGTTTCTGATTAAGTTTCATTAAACAGCCTTAGGGAAGTGGCTCCTCCATCAGTAATAACAGTGAACATATTAAAGAACATGAGCATAAAAGCAGAGGCCACATTAGTGTCAATAAAAACAGTTACGCATCATGTTATGAAGGTTGTGAAGATGCTGTGTGAGTATTTTTCTTCTTCATACCTCCTCCTCAGGTTTGATGTCTCGAACAGCTCTGAGCTGCAGCTTTGTCCCCTCAAACACCATCACACAGTTTGGCCTGCAGTCATGGTTTAACAGAGACAGACTGGCAGAGAGCAAAGAGGACGAGGGGCAGGAGGGGGTGAGACAGTTCGAGGACGAGAGGAGGAGGAGTGAAGGAGAAAAGAGAAAGAGTGAGGAAGAGACAGAGGAGTGAGGAGGGAGGAGAAGATGTGTGAAGTCGAGTCAAGAAACCATACATCAGCTTGTTAAAGGGTTCCTTCTGTATCACAGGACATCTGCAGCATGATATATATGTAGAGAAGACAGAGAGCACAAGATAAAGAAAATACACGAGAAGAGCCCGATCTGACTTTTCAGGGATTTCTCAGATTACTGCGACCAGACCAGTGGCTCGACTGAAAAGATTATGTGTTCCAACATACATGTGAGACAGAAAACACAGGATGAGGGGGACATCTCCCACAAGATTACCACATATCTAGCAGCCAGTGTAGTGCCGAGGGATGACAGGTGTATAGGTACACAGGATCCAAAGAGCTGTGAGGGGGTTATGTATCATCTGGCAATGTAATGCAATGTGATATACAGTACATAAGGTCATAATGCCAATCCTCCAAACTCAAAAACTCTGGACACTACGACAAAATGAGAACTCTGCTTCTGTCATCGCACATGATACTTTTCACACACACACACACACACACACAGACTCATTTTCCACATTTATAATGGATTCAACTCGTCCTCCCACTCACTCAGATAAATTCATGTGGTATAAATTACCACAGCCTCTAAAATGTTCATATCATTGTATGAAGAAACATAACCTTCATTATGGTGGGAGGTATTGCAGGGGAGCTGTATTGACCTTATTACTTTTAGCACTGTTATTATTATTATTATTATTAGTAGTAGTAGTATTATGTTGTGTTTTCATCAGCATTCATTTGTTTGTTTGATGACAGATTACACAAATCTACGAGGGATTTCCACAAAACTTAGTAGTAGGGTATGGATCAGGAAATAACCAACACATTTTTTGTGTGAGTCCGTATCAGGGATTAAATCACATTTTAGTTGCTCTCTCAGAGAATTATTCATTTATCTTGCTTTAAAAAAATCAGACATGTTATGGGAGTAATATTTATGAGTGTGTGAAATTTGGTGCAGCTCCAAATAAAAATCTGGATTTGTGAGTTTAAATGTGGTATCATGAGGGGACTGTTGGTGGATGAGTGCCTGTGTAGTTTTATAAGTGGCACACACTCATTGAGTAAAATAAATAAAAAAGCATGTTGCTATTCTGATAAGTGCCAATTTGCAAATGTGATTTTACTGCATTATAAAGTCGGTGCATGATGAGCTTCTTTCCCGTGTTAAAACAGTATTGTGCAGTACTGATGCTTGATTATTTTTAGCTGAGAGTTTTTTTAAGACCCTCTGACCCGTAAGAAGACATTTAGTGTCACTGCACACATGGCTGATAAAAAACACTGAAGAGGTTTGCCTGTTTTTATCACCTCCTCTATTAATGGTGCTCTTGTTTATCATATTCATTGAGCAAAACAATGGGTGCAAGAGATAAAGACCTGTGTGTGTGTGTGTGTGTGTGTGTTTGTGTGTGGAGCCTTTGTAAAACCATCAGTTACCTCCGGCTTTGTTCTACAGAGGAGAAACTGCAGGTTGAATATCAACTAGAAATCAAGCCCTACAAAGCATGTTTTTATCTGATGGAGAGCAGCTCGTTAGCATACTAATGAGATTAATTAACTAAACTACATCTCACATTAACAATATCTGCTCACTATATCCGAGGCTAAGTGCTGCGGTACATGGCAGGAACGAGAGTGAAATATCACACAGGTGTGATTGTACAGACTGCTGTTCTTAAATTTAGTTTGGATTCAATGAGAAAGCCTCAATACTTCACTTTTGTTTCTTTGTGGAATTTTTTTTTCAGATCTTCACCAAAATTACATGGCTACTACCCTGACCCATACTGCATCCTTCAACTGAGTTTCGTGGGAATCTATTCAGTAGTTTTTGCATAATCTTGCTTAAAAGCCAACCAACCAACTGACAAACAAAGTCCTCTTTCCCACATCATTTTCTAAGACTCATCCTGTCTATAAATTCAAATAAATTCACAGGGCTGAACATTATCTATTTCTACAGGAAAAGCACAGATCCAATAACAAATATCCATTCATCCAATATATATATATATATACATCTTATCCTTTGAGGGTTGCAGGGGATGGAGTGGGGGGGGGTAGAGCCAATCCTGACGGACATGAGCGAGATGCTGGCTTCCACCCTGGACAGGTGGCCAGTCCATAGAGAAAGCATAATGGACATTAAGGGAGGTTAAACATGAACATATGTTCATGGCAGCTCATTTACTGCAGGTCACTTTTACAGTTTCAGAAAAAAAGCTGCAACAAGTTTTACCACAGGCCAAGCTAACAGCTTACTCCAAACAGGCAGGTTCGGGCAGTACTGTTCTACTGTCTAATTAGAGCTGTTCTCAGGACAGTGAGGTTTAGGGGTTAGTGCATGTTAAACAGATCACAACATAGCTCCACCCATTTTACACTTGACCAGAGATTCAATTAGCCAAAGAAACTGACTGTACAGAGACAAATTCAACATTATGACTGTAATATTTATACTTCTGGTGAATATCAAGTTTTAAACATATTAACATGTCCCCATTATACTTTTCATATGATAACAGACACTTCATCCATAAAGATGGTGGCTGAGGATTTCCATCTTTAAACTTCAGTAAACATATGCCAGTTTGAAAAAAACAATTCACATAAATATGTTTTCTTTTGAAAATGCATCATCTGTGATAGGCCTGCGTCCACATTACGACCACATGATCATATAGACACAGACTCTTGCTGATTGGGTCTTTATGATCATGATGTATCCTTCACTGAGTCGTCAGGCAGGTAAACTCAGCATTTTAAAATAATCAAACTATGTAGGAGACAAGCTATTATTCAAGCAATTCACCTGCACATGCCCAGCGTATGAAAGTGGGCATGTAATATTAACATACCATATACATTTTCAGGCATGTTAGTGTGTGCAGGGATTATAACTGATGCAAAGCTCATGTGGACAGAAAACGTTTTAGTCTTTTAAGGAAACAGTCATATGGATGTAGCCAAATAAAACATTTTTGGAATGAGACAGACAGAGGCAGTAGGAGCATAAAGTCTGCTGTGCTACATACAAACATCTCTCAGGTCTTTGTTTGATATTGGCAGTGAATCTCTTCTTTCTGTTTTCATTTTAGCTTATCCACATGGTTTTAGGTTACACTGAGGTGGACTGAAGTAAATGGTCATGTTAGATTACAACCAGTAAATGAAGGTGTGTTATTGGACCTGCTGTGAATCGTTTCTCCTGATAAAGTCCTCGGAGGACAGGATTTTACATCATATTTTCAATGGGCCAATTAGCAGTGAATGACAAGCAGACACAGACAGACACAGAACAGTGAGCTCAGTGGAGACAAGAGAGGAGAATAAGGAAGTTGAGGAAATGAGGTCTGGACATACAGCGGAGAGAGAAAAATGAACTGAATAATGGGGTGAGACAGAGGTGTAGCCCCACCACAGAAACTCCCCCCCCCCATCTTTCCAGCAAACCTACGGTTGCTAGGCAACCCAAAATATGAATAGGCAGGGGACCATCCTGTGAACAGGCCCCATCATTTATGGATGAGTTACGGCACAAATCGCACCCACACACTGACACAGACACACACATGGCTTTTGCTGGGCTTTGGTAAAGCCACTGTGACCATCTGACATCTCAGCGCCAGCCAGATAAACTGGCGGAGATACCTGCACTGTGTATATATGTGTGTGTGTGTAAGTGTGTGAGAGAGAGTGTGTAGAAACACTAACAACATGTGCAACAAATCCTTCCCCACTCACCCAGGACTTAGTGGCAGGATTAAAGTACACACCTTGCTCAGTGTGTGTTTTTCACTCTTACATGCCAGACAAGAATAACATCGCAGTTGGAGTAAAACCTCTTACTCCTCTATGTATTCTGTA